GCCTTCCCATTTTTCCCAAGTCAAGCATTTTAAATCTACTGGGAAACAATCATTCTCTAGAGGTATATCAGTTCTTCTTTCCATTTGTCAAACAAAAAGATTTATATATTGTATCGAAATATAGAAAGTGACCTATTTATCGTTTACTATTTTAATTATCAAGAATATATATATTATATTTATATATATTTGTTCTTCATTGTCTGTATTTTTCTCTTTCTCTCTCTTCCTCTGTCTTTTTCTTTCTTTTTCTCTCTATCACTATTTTTCTCTCTCACTCTAGCAGTCTTCTCTCTAGCACTTATTCTTTAATTCTATCTCTCTCTTTATCACCGTCTGCCCCTAAAACTTTATCAAGAGTTATCAAATTAGCAAATCTATATAGATAAATAATTACAACGATTTGTACTTTTCAAGCTATTTATAAATATTTTCGAAATAATTCCCTTATTTAGAGTGTAGAGTATTCTGCCAAAGTACCAACATTTCGCACAAAGACTTCTCTGACACTGTTTCTGTGTCAGGTAAGCTAACATTTTTTCTCAGCGTTACGCTCAGGTGATATCAGTTTGTTCATACACGCACACATGTTTACATGCATCTACACCAGCCTCACACTTACATAAGTATATAACCATGCATATACCAGAGTTCTTATCTAAAGTGACGACTATAGGATACCCCTGGCACAGCTCGCCAAATGCATAACCGTCTGCACTTTGCATATTATAAAATTAAATTTAGTAAAATTAGTAAATGTTTATTACTTTTCTGGTTGCTAATTACTTTGATGTTTATCTTTCGTGGGTACGGGAAAACAGTCTCAATATTGACTTAAACCTTTATTATATGCTTAAAAGTCAGGCTGCTAATCAATAATTATCGATTTGTGTCAGTTCTAATTTTAAATGTCTGTAGCTATTAAAGTGTCCGAAATTGGGTCGGAGATGGAGATGACACTCCGTTTGCCGCTTGCACCAATTTCCTATACATAACTTCGAATGGTACAGGGTATAAAAATCAGCGCACCAAACGAGCTCTTTGTCAAGAATAGACAGATATGGTGGAATTGAAAACTGGTGTGTGAGTTTGTGGGTGTRTTTGTAACTGTGCATGTGTGTGTGTGCATTTTGAGTATTTCTTTTATTAGTGTTTGCGTGAGTGCTCGCGGAATACACTAATACCAGTGAGAGAACCCCACTAATAAGCAATATTTGTATGTGTGTGCGTGAGCGTGAGTGTATATACATGTATGAGTATTGAGGCCGACTTTTCTGTCTCTGACTCTGCTGTTGCTTGGCGTGTGTTGTTGCTGGTATTGATACTGGAAGTACTCGTACTCCAGTTGCTGCTGTTACTGTGGCTAAAGTGGCTGTTGGCTGTGTTAGCTGCTGTCGCTGTCGCTGTAGCTGTCACTGCCTGTTGACTGTAGTTGACTGTTGGCTGACGGCGTTTACGTCAGAGTTACAAACTGTGCTTATTTAAGAAATCTAAAGCTAAAGAAGAGCAGAGTATATATTATACGCATACTTATCTACTTGTAATATAAATGCAGACAACTAACTGTGTTTCTCTTCAACTGCACACCGTGTACGATTGATAAGATCGCCGATGAAAATGAAAAACGAGCATTACAAACTAAAATATCTTCGAAATTCTAATAAAACAGCCAACAAAATGTTTGCTTTTCCATAAGTGAAAATTTTTTTTTATTGTATGAGAGTGGCTTATTTACTATGTTCTTGTGCTCCAGTGTCAGTGTATGTGGATGGAGAGATGTGTCTGTGTGTGTCTGTGGATGCTTTTATGTGTTTGCGTTAAAGCTTTTTGCTCTCCGAGCAAGAATTGAACGAAACAGTAACTATTAAATTTAAACAGATTTAACTGCTGTGATTAAACTATTTACATACATATGTGTGCATGAAATAAAACGAAAATTCCTAATGAATCATAAATAAAGAGAGCAAGACGAGAGCGCAGCCAAACGTGACGCGGTCACAGAACGCAGAGTGTGTGTTGAACAGAGAGAGGGAGAGACAGGGAAAGAGCGAGAGAGTTCCTCGTTACTGAACTTGTGCAACAATCATCTTGCTGAGCGCGAACGTGAGCGTAAGCCGACGTAGACGTAGTCTTTAGCAAATACCAAATACATATGCATATGTACATGCATACATAGTACAAATGAACTTATATGCATTGGTTGCGATAGCAGTTACTTTTGCACAGGTGTATGTGAGCATAAGTGTGTGTGTGCGTGTGTCTGTGTTAATGTGTACGCTCTCACTCTCCATCTTTTACGCTCTCAAAATTCGTTGCTCTTTCTCGCACTCTGCTGCGTAGAAGTGAGTTTCTTTCAGTGTCACCAAACTCAGATTAGCTCTTGTCTATGAGTTGGCTTTTGTCGTAAATATTACGTTCGCTTTCGCACTCGCCATATGTGTACATACGTACATATATATTTGTAATTATATATACATATACAAATACATATATAAACAATCTTTCATGAGTTAGTGTAAGTCTCTGAGTGTGTGTCTTTTCGAGGTTTTAATGCGCAGCAACAGCGACTTGTTGAATTAAATATAAGTATGCTCAATGGCAAAGAGACAACGCCAACAAACAAAGTGCCGTTCATTCAATCTTTCGCGGCGAAAGCAAGAGCTTGCAAGACCAAAAAATATTAAAACACATACACATGAACATTAGACAGCTTACACATACACTGCCTATGTGTCATGTGCAGAATGCAAGTGTATTGTTTTTAGATCGACTCTAAAAAAAAGCGTTTAACTAGGAATTGAGTGAAAAACAAAAAGGAATACTATTTTTGTTTTTAAGTACTCAATTATATAACTATAAACAAAAATTATGATAATTTAATAAATGCTGATAAATCATAATAGAATATCTATATTTAGATTAATATATTATAAATGTGTAATCGTGTCTGGCTCTAATGGAAATCGGTTAACTGATTGCGCATTGATTAGATGTAGCTCGAGTTGTTTTAAAGGTGTTTAATCGACATTCGCTGTTCGAAAAGTTTCGCCGCACTGAAAGTGCTTTCTCTTTGGCATTGTTAATAATAAAAGAATACAATTTGATAAAATGAACTCGATTTTTGATCAAAATAAAAACGTTTAAGTGAATTTGCAAAAAATATATCTATATAAATATAATGAAAGTAGACATAGATATATATTGTATATATAGAATATATATAATAAATATCATTAAATAATTTTTTCGATGAATGCAGAAAGTCTGACTAAACTTCTATGATAAAAAAGAAAAAGCTAACTGAAAGCAGTGCAAAGTGCAAAGCAAAAAAAGTGCTAAAATTAGTGATATTCTAAAGGAAAAAGAATAAATATAAATGGATCGTGCTTTACAACCGGAAGCAGCGCCATCCAAAATGGAGACAACGGCACCGGACCTAAATCGCGGCGATGTGTCCCGCAAGAGCGTTCGCGTCTATTCAGCACGCAAAGGTTTGGCACCAGCGCCGCCCAACCTAGGGCTGGCTACAAGCAGCASCACCACCAGCAGCAGCAGCACCAGCAACAATACCAACAACACCAGCAATAATAGTGAAATTAAGAACAACAACAACAACAATAGCAGTGATAGCGATAACTTGCCCCAGCAGCAGCCTCACAGAAGGCAAGAGTTTGCCAACAGTTCAACAATGACTGCTAAGGAAATCGATCTCAGCGATGCACAGCATGTGGACTATGATGCAGTCGTCGAATTGCGTCGGCCAGGTGATATAGCAGTGCCGCCGCCACGCGTCGCCGTTTCAGCAATACCAGCGCTACACCTGCAGAGCCAGAGCCGGCCAAAGGTGGCGCCACGTGTTCAAATGACCGCCGAAGATGATGTGGGCGTTGCTTTCGCTTTGGGGTCCATTGAGAAGCATATACTCAATGTGGAGGAGAGTTTCAAGCAGCAGCAGCTCAGTGAGCAGCAGCAGGAGCAGCAGGACCAGTCTCAGTCCTCCATGGACGTGGTCATACGCAAGCAGAGCAAGCGCTACGGCGAGACAGAGAACTTGTTGCGGCCCGGCATCAGCGATATGTCGTCCGAGAATGACTTTCAGTATCTGGGCGGTCGTCGAAACAATCTGGACGATAGCAACGAGCAGATGATGACAGAGTTTCAGCGCGGCAGCGATGGACGCAATTCAATTGGTGCCTATTCCAAGAACTCCTCGGGCACGGTTAGTGGACGATCAGGTGGGCTGAAGGCCAAGCTCGCACGCACTGCCTCGGATACGAAGAACACGGACACGGTGCTAGCTATGCGTGCTAATCTGAAACAGAAGGAGCATCAGCATCACGATGCCAGCAAGCAGCAGCAGCAGCTGCAACAGCCGCCTTGGCGACCGGCCAACAGTCAAGATCGTCCGGCTCCGACGCCAGCTGTTAGAACCTCGGCGAGCAGAGGCAACAGCAGCTCGAGTGTTGTGGACGGAGGCTCTTCCTCCAAGCTGACAGCGACCACGATTTCGGCTAGCAAGCGACGCGAAGAGAATTTGCGCCAATTCGAGGCGCTGCTGGCACAGAAATCATCGCATCGTCATGGAGCAAGTGCAGCAACATCGGGCAGTCATGCGACAACAGCTGCATCTTCAGCCCATGCAGCGGCATCGAAACGTCGCTCGGAACGTCCCGTTGTGACACCCATACCGCCTTTCAACTCTAGCCGCGCCGATGCTGGACCGCCGCCCGTCGAGCCGCGAGCCCCCAGCTCCGGGGCAGGACATCATCGAACGTCAGCTACCAATGCAGCTGTCACACGTACCAATGTATACGGCAACAGTGTTGCTCAGGTAAACCAATCCAAATGCGGCTCAAATACATTTACGAATCTTTTACAACTACCTTTAAATACCTCAGGGGCGGGGTGACTATAGCTCATAAAATTCTCTTGAAAGATCCACACAAATTGAAAATTACATATGAAACTAATTTGTGTTTTTGATCTGGCTCTTTTTGCAGGGATCCCCGAATCTGCAGATGCGAAGCAGCGCTCCTATGCGATGGCGTGCCACTGAGGAGCATATCGGAAAATATAAGCTCATCAAGACGATCGGAAAGGGAAACTTTGCCAAAGTGAAACTAGCAAAGCATCTGCCCACTGGCAAGGAAGTAGCAATAAAAATAATTGACAAAACCCAATTAAATCCTGGGTCACTTCAGAAACTCTTTAGAGAGGTAAGCAATACATCCATATATATATAGATGATCATTTTACTAAAAGAATCCATTATATATAATACACAGGTTAGGATAATGAAAATGCTTGATCACCCCAACATAGTGAAACTCTTTCAAGTTATCGAAACGGAAAAGACGTTGTATCTCATCATGGAGTACGCATCAGGTGGTGAGGTCTTTGACTATTTGGTACTACATGGGCGTATGAAAGAGAAGGAAGCGCGTGTTAAGTTTCGTCAAATTGTATCGGCTGTGCAATACTGTCATCAGAAGAGAATAATACACAGGTGTGTAATCGATAATTAAGTTTCTATAGTATTCCTATAATTCCAGTACAAGTCGGAAGTTTTATAGAAAATTAATGCAATATATCATTTGTAAATTAACCTTGTCATATAAGTGCTTTAAAATAAGTGATGATATCATCGAATTTGCATTCATTTCTCATAGACCTTATCAAACTTTAGGAACTCTTTTTTTCCGATAACTTAACGTGAAATTCCCGATTCGGAACCTAGGAAATGAACTGTTTTAAACTTTTATGATTCACACTCTGCATGCAACAAACATTGAGAATAGTTCAATTGTGTCAAACATATCTATTTATATCTTATCTACAAACATTATCGACTATTATATATGTGTGAACTGTTTACTTTTCTTCACAGGGACTTAAAAGCTGAGAACTTATTATTAGACAGCGAGTTGAATATAAAAATAGCAGATTTTGGATTTTCGAACGAGTTCACGCCCGGCTCAAAGTTGGATACATTTTGCGGCAGCCCACCCTATGCAGCGCCCGAGCTCTTCCAGGGTAAAAAATATGATGGACCTGAGGTGGATGTTTGGTCGTTGGGCGTTATATTGTATACGTTAGTGAGCGGATCCCTGCCTTTCGACGGTTCCACTTTGAGGGAGCTACGCGAACGTGTACTCAGAGGCAAATATAGGTAATGTACCGAGACACCTAAATATATATATATATATATGTATTAATATATTTTTCTGTTTATTAGAATTCCATTCTATATGTCAACTGATTGCGAAAATTTGCTGCGCAAGTTTCTAGTACTAAATCCTGCTAAACGTGCTAGTCTTGAAACAATCATGGGCGACAAGTGGATGAATATGGGGTTTGAAGACGATGAGCTCAAGCCATACATAGAGCCAAAACAAGATTTAGCCGATCCCAAGCGGATAGGTAAGACGGGTACTGTATACGAAATTCATTACTAATACTATTAACGAATTGTGTGTTAAAAGTTTTGCCTGTTGATTATTTTTGTATTTTATTACAATTGATGTACTTCGATATATCTACAAATATAGATATATTGTACTGTTGTGATGTGAAATAGTATTTCAATTTGAATATTTTGAATTTTTTGTTGTATTCATATCTACGTACAGAGTATTTCCCGTTTGTATACCTTATAATTTGAATTATTCTTATTTTGAATTTCTTGGCTGTTGTTAGTTGTTTGCTATATACATAAATACGTACATATTTGCTTAAAAATTCTCGATACAGCTGCGGGGGTACAAACCGGAGTTAAACACTCAGCATCGGCATCAGCATCAGCATCGATCCGACGCAGTGCATTTGACTTGATGTTAATGATGATCTTTTTAATCGGCGAATGGAAAGTGCCACACCAAAATGTATGCAATCCCTTTGTGGGAGAAACGTTATTTTGGAATGGCAATCATCATTAAATAAATAAATACTCTTTGTTTCTCTATCTCTTACAATTTCTTTATTTTATTTTGTTTGCTTCAAATTATCAAGATCTGCCGGGAGAAAAAATGAATTATATCTCTTCATGAAAAAAAAAAAAAAAAAAAAATTATTAAATATTTTTCTATAAATATATTATATTTGTTTTTATCTATCATCATTTATTCGAATTATCTATCTCCGGTTTGCGTCCTTAAATTCGATACAGTAATGATAATTAATATGTACCTATGTATGATCATCAAGTTAAAGATCTCTATAAATATTTTGTTGTTATTTCAAATAAATGCATGGCAATGTTGTAAACTTTTGTTATAATGTTATTAAACATACTAAACGAAAAACGAAAATTAATCTGTAACTCTGCGAAACCTAAAGGCTTCTATAGAGCACACAATTCAGGCTGTACTCGAACAGTTCGCGAGAACTATTCAAGCTAAAATGTTATGTAATTGTAATGAATTTGCATGTAATGTATACCTATCGACAATTTTTTGTATGAATCAAGCTAAATAGCATTTGCCTATATGCATAATTGAAGAATATAATTATTATTAAATACCTTGCCCAACATTTTCTTTTGATAAATTGTATAGAAGCTCTAGTCGCAATGGGCTACAATCGACAAGAAATCGAAGCGTCACTGGCTCAGGTGCGTTATGATGACGTATTCGCCACGTATTTGTTGCTGGGTCGCAAGAGCACTGATGTAAGTGTGAGGCGTGTTGTCTATTTGATTTGCGAAATACCCTGGAATGATATATATTTCGTTTTCTTTATGCCTGCCTTCCTACCTGCCTGCCTGCTGTTGTACGTTTAGCCTGAAAGTGACGGGTCACGATCCGGATCATCGCTCTCGCTGCGCAACATCTCTGGCACCGAGGCTGGGGCCAATGCGGGCAATGCGGTCGTGCAAAGTCCCACACATCGTGGCGTACACAGAAGTATATCGGCGTCGAGTACCAAGCCAAGTCGTCGAGCTTCGTCCGGTGCGGAAACGTTACGTAAGTCCCATAATGGGGCTGCGATTTACTGAATAAATAATGAATAACATGTTTGTTCAAAATTCCCACAAATTCAGGTGTTGGACCCACAAATGCCACAACAACCGTTACGGCTGCTGCAATAGGCGTGGCGCCTGTCAACCCAAGCAATAACTATAATGCTGTTGGATCAGCCGCCGATCGTGCATCAGTGTAAGTATTTACAATATCTATAGAGAGATCTATAGATATCTGAAGACATTTGTACACGCAGGTCTTTCTTTCTATAAGTATGGGTATACTGAATCGAAAGTTTTCTCTATGAAAATCAATATGAAACTTAAGTTTTTTATTATATTTTGTTAATTAGATAAATGCCCTATTCAGGGTATTTTCTAGTTAGGCATTGCCGATCACAATAATATATGTTAATACTTATATAGCTTTGTATATACGTATATAAATTTCTCTAGCCATATTATCGTCTGTCTGACGAAGTGTTAAGTCTTTTTCCAGACAAGTCGAAATCTGTTTAATTATATATTGATACAAATTCTTAGCATATTCATGTATTGATTCATGTGCTAAATTGTTAAGCCACAGACTATCTAAGTACACATTAATAAAGTTAAAGTGTGAATGTAATTATCGTTTTATGTAAAACATTTCATATTTACTTAATAATTTATCATCTCTATTTACAGTGGTAGCAATTTTAAGCGTCAAAATACTATAGACTCAGCAACAATTAAGGAGAATACGGCACGTCTGGCCGCACAGAATCAGAGGCCAGCGTCTGCCACACAGAAGATGCTAACCACAACAGATACATGTAACTGGCTGTTTGCTTATCTTTATCTCTCTTGTGTGACAATAGTTTAATCTATTTAATCTCTGTTTATTACAGCGCTGAACAGTCCAGCTAAGCCGCGTACAGCTGCGAAATACGATCCCACTAATGGCAACCGCACAGTTAGCGGTACGAGTGGCATCATACCACGACGTTCGACCACACTCTATGAAAAGACTTCATCGACGGAGAAAACCAATGTTATTCCTGCAGAGACAAAGTACGTGAATGTGGTAACACTTCTATCCATTGTTGGCACACCAATGATTATTTTCGATTATCATTTGTCTAATTTTCCAATTATGCATTAGTTCTTTGGTATTGTTATTGTTATTGTCGTTATTTCAAACTGTTATTCGTTGGTCGACTCGCAGATTTTTTTTAGTTGGACAACCAGACAGACAGTTAGTGCCTCTCGCTCGCTAGTTTTATATATTATCATCAGTATATCTATATATATATCTATCTATATTTCTTCTCAGTTTGCACATATTTATGGTTAAGTATATAAACAGATAATGTTATGTTGTGTATAGAGCATATGTACATATCTAGATTATCAGTATATATATTCCTATATACATCTCTATATATATATATTGCTGCGCACAAATTCAGTTTTTCCTATTTATTTCTAAGTTGCAAAACCGAAAATCAATTATCAAATATCTCTTTTGTTCACATATATATAACTATATATTTTCGTAAATCGAGGTGTGTGGGTTATGTTTTTCAAAATGTATATGTTTAGTTTTAAAAACAAAAAAAAAAAACAAAAGAACACAAACGATCAAAAATACTCAGCTCAATCCATTGCAACTCGAATGACAATGACTACAACATATTTACCACTTTTTGCCAATCTTTCGACTAAACATATATGTATAAACGTAACCAGTAGTGGATCTGCAGCTACCGCTGGAAAGGGTCACACAAAAAGCGCCTCTATTTCAAGCCCTAGGCCATCCACTGATGGATGCATATCAGTATCAATTGACCCACTTGGATCGAGGTATACACTTGCATCATACATTAGCAAAAAAAAAAAAAAAACATTTCAAACTAATTTTTATCGAATTGTATACAAACAATTTATAATTGTTGTTAATTTTACAAAGACATTTTATTTATGCTCTTATCTAAAAACCAAATTGGCTGCTTAATTTTGATTAACTCTTTTATGATTTAAGTCAAAGGTTTTACATTTTGTTATGTAGAGCAGAATTAATTTGATTCATTTTTCAAATCTCTTAACACACTTGATATTGATATATAAATTGACGCAGGTGTTAGTAGGGCCGTTAGTAAATTCGAAAAGGACGACGACGTGTTTGACCGTAGCTCTGTCCGACAGTCGAAATTTTTTTATTTGTATTTTTTTTCTGTGCTCGTCCCAAATTCAAAAACTCACAATGTTGATTAATTAGTTTTTGACATTTGTCCTGCAGCTGAATTGTTGCATGTTTGCCTGCATCTGAATTCATTTAAGTGTGTGTAGTCTTTGATTTAAATATAATTATACATTGGAATAGAGTATGAATTTTGAAGAAACTGTTGAAAATGCGATATTAAAGAACTTTGGATCGAACAGTCATAGAGTCAACACATATTTGATAAAATATTTTAGTATGTATTAAAATGATGAGATACAATTTTTAGCTAACCCAAAATTTTTCTTGATTCTGAGAGTCATTATCTTTAATTAATTAAAAATGAAGTCAGCTTTCATACAAATGTTTTTATATGAAGTTTACATACTACATACATATCAAGTAGGTCTACTAAAAGTCCCATAATTCACATAAATTAGTTGAAAAGCGAAGCCTTTCAAATTATGCTCTAAACTCAGTCCTTTTCCTAACTGTATAAAATCTGGTACAGGTAATTTTTTAAATCGAACAGGTGTACTTGCCGATCTATGTCATTATTTTAAGAGCAGAGCAATTTTCTTATACAACAGATATGTGATTTTAATAGTAATTGGTTCACTTTCGTTTTATATGTAGAATTGCTTTACCTATTCAGTAATCAATAGAAATTTCTATTATTCGTTTATCTCAAATGTGAATATAATAATATTCATGTGGTCTTCTCGTATAGTCTGCTTTTATTTGTTTACGATTTGTTATGATATATGCGTTCAGTTACAGATTTGTTGCGCTCTTCACTAATCCCCATTGAATTTCGAAAAAAGAAAACAATGTAGAAATGTATTTGGTTTAATTTGTTTATCTCTTTTTATTATAACACTCTAACAAATTTGATCCATTAAATAATGTAAATTTCTTATCTTTTCATGTTTTATACAATATTGAACAATAACTGTTTATAAACCAATTGTCTAATTTTGATAACTACCACACTACTACTACTACATACATCCAATCTTTGTGGCGATCAATCGAACAAAAAACTCTACAACAATCTTCTTCGTATTATCGGTGTTCGTAAAATCTTTTATCTTTCACATTTTGTTTACAAACAACAACAACAAATCAAATGCAAATCAAATCAAAATCTTGTTAAATATGTGATTTTTAATTCGAATTGTCGATTCGAATAAAACAATTAATTTTGGATTCGTAAACCCCGAACCGATCCGATCCGATCCGATCTGAACCGAACAAACTTTGGTGAGTGAAATTGCAAAAACAAAAATATATTTTAAGCGAGACAAATATATAAGTATACTAAATAATTTAGCGTAATTCCATTTTAAATTGCTTTACACATATTGTGGCATGCGCGGTATTAAGTCCAAATAATATATATTCTTCTTCTATTTGTTATTTTTGTTATACTTAAACCTAAACGAGATATTGTCTGTTAATGCGCTGAAACCAAACTTTATATGAATGTATTTATGTGTCTGCTTAACATTTGATGATGACAATGATGTAGGTAGTTCCTAACGAGATTTGCTACTCACATAGATCGACAACATAGATCACGTAAATTCTTCATTCTGCATGACTGAGGCTCCAGTTCCCGAGTAACTTCACTTCCGACAATTTGTACTCATTGGTAGATCGAAAAATACTCTCTCTCTATTATATATACATATATACCCATAAGTTGATGTTGTAAATTCTTTGTGCAAGAATCATCGATTGTGTCTATTTCTCTTTCCACATCTCTGTGTACCTATCTATCTAACTACCTATATAATATATTTTTTATATTTTACTACATCTTTTACTGGATCTCTTGAACACATACTTAAATACTAAGTAATACAGAAGACAAGCTAATATAAATAAATATGTTTACTAGGCCCAGCTCTACTATAGCTGCTATGTATGAATGTTAAACAAAGTTAGGATTATTTAGTTATAATAAAAATAAATATAATGGTATATGGTTTTCAACTAGTCTTGTCCATATATATACTTTGCTTATTGCTTAACGCCTAGTTCCTCCATCAATTATGTCAATTTTCAAAGCTTGAACGTTTTATTATCCGAGTACATTTCATATATATCATCCATTTAAGGACTGTTTCAGACTTTACCGGATATATCCACTAAAAAAAAAAAAATGACTCGTCTGAACTCTTTTTGCTATTAGTTTCCATCATTAATTCAAATCTTTGCTTTAATCAACTTTATTATATAGCAAACTTCTAATTTTTAATTTAATTTCTATAATATAAGAACGTAATTTTAAGAGCTCGTTTTTTCTTTCGAACAAAATTTACATGATTGATTTTTTTTTAATTTTTTCTTTTCATTATATTTGTGTGTCTACCAACATGATTACAAAAATAAACCTAAAATATAAACAATCATAAACCGTTACCGAAAACCGTTGCCAAACCATCACATTAATCAAAATATATATAATCTGCTTGATTCGCGCTTGATACTCGTCTGTATACATATTTTGTCATGGCGTCAAATTGAAAATACAAATTAATATTACGATTGATAACAACAATAACAAAAACAACCAAACAATGATACGATGAAACACTATCGAATACTTGCCCATCACTACGGATTGGAAAATAATCGAAATCGAAATTATAATCGAATTCATACGCTGATGATGCCAAACATACACACACACATGATCGGTCTCCCACTTCATTCACACAAACACACACACACCCACACACATTAAAACGAATTTGAATTTGCCTGTCTATATTAACGGTCAAAACACACACATTGCACAATATATCAATTGATAAAACTATAAACTGTTATATATATATAAAATATATAAAAAATACATTCGTTTTCTGATATATGCAATTCATTGGACTATATATAACTACGAACTGACTGAATGATTCGATCGATATCCATTCATACGTATGTGTGTGCATACATGTATTGTACTTGTACATATATATATATATATGCGATATATACACAATATATATATATATATAGTCTGTTCGATCGACTTAGAATGGCATCGGCTGTTAAATCAAGCAGACACTTTCCAAGGAATGTTCCATCACGTTCAACCTTTCACTCTGGTGAGTTTTTCTGTTTTAATTATTTTTATTAGTTTTAGTAAAACTTAACTTAATTTTACTCACAACTTTACTAAAAAAAAACAAACATTTTATATAGACTAAATTAAATAATAATATCGAATTATCAAACTATCGAATTTCGTTAAGTTTCCTTATTCCATATTTATTTTTTACTCTTTTCATTAAATCATAAAAAGAAAAAAATATGTAAATTTTATTAGCACGTAAAATGAATAAAAAATAACTTTAAGTCTAAATTATATGAATGCTCCATTATTATTATTACTA